AGTACAGTATAGAGAGTGTTCTCTTAAACATGTCTTAACTTGTGATAGTAATAATTATAGCAGGTATCATAGTGATAGAGGGAGCGAGCAGTAATATTAACTATACCTATTATAGTTAAATAGAGTGTGGACTCGCATGCCTTTGATTTACAAAGGTATTGTATAAGATGAAGACTTTCATATCTAACACAATATATATGATATATAACTAAGAAATCAACGACATTCAGACGAATAACAATATACCCTAAGACCATAATCAAACAAGAACAAGAAATAAGGTGAGCTATCGATCCTAAGTCCTTCAAGTCTTATTTATATAAATATATTGATGTCGATATAGTTTAAAAGAAAAGTAGTTTAAATACAATTTGAAAATAGTTTAACAACAATTTAGTTTAGAAAATGCGTTTGATGAATATTTAAAACAGTTTTATTAACAAATAGTTAAAAGTATAGAAAAATCCTTTTTGGTTGTATGTTATAAATCACATATGATTAGGAACTAGAACTTGTTGCATTTACTTGTATCCCCCCCCCCCTAAAACATTTAAAAAGGTTAATTAAGGGGTATGAACTCACCTGTAGCGTGAAGTGTCGGGTGAGCGCTTAGTGTCAAGTGAAGACTTGAACAAACTTTATGACCCTAGTAACGTATGAAGACATATGTTTACATGAAATTAGTGATTAAGACACTAATTAAACACATATAGACATCCTAATGCGAAGAAAAACTCTTTGGTCAAGTGTTAGGAGGCTACTGGGTTGCAAGGAAGGAGTGTAAGGTCCCACTATGGAGTTTACTCCTTAATTACTCACCTTAGGTGAGTTTGTGGTTGAGGGACCCATTCCCCCACGAGTTTATGGTCGTAAACTCATGGGAGGGGTGTATTTGTGTGCTTTTAAGCTTCATGCCTCACCAAGGAAGGTTCTAGGGTTGATTTCAAGGGTCTGAAGTGGTTAGGGCATGAATTGCCCACTATTTGGAGTTTACAGTCCTAGGACCTTTTTGGGGAGTTCACTACCGTAAACCCATGAGTTTACGATAGTAAACTCATGGTTTATCCATCCACTTCGAATTTTGAGGTTCCTAGATCATCCAAGCAAGTTCCTAGTCCATAAGTCATGCTAGATAGGGAGTTGGGTCATCAAAACACCCTTTTTGGGGTGTTTACGGTTCTTGAATGGTTCTTGGGAGTTTACTACCATAAACTCATGAGTTTACGGCAGTAAACTCATGGCTATTCCATCCATTTCGTGATTTGGGGTCCTTAGGTCATTTATGCAAGTTTCTAGGTTAATATCCAAGCATTGGGAGGGTTTGGGGCATCAAAAACCCCTTTGTTTGGTGTTTACGATTCATGAATGTTCATGGACCGTAAACTCATGTTTATCCCCCTAAATGCACGATTTTGGGTTTCTAATTTCATGCATGCAAGATCCCAAGTCATATACAAGCATTAGAAGGGTTTTGATGGGATTTTGGGGCCTTAAAACCCCTTTATGGGAGTTTACGGTTTTGGGTGATTAAATCCCTAATTTGAATGAATACAATGCAATACAACAAGCTAGGAATGATTACTTGCGGATTTGGAGCTTGAATGAGGTGTTTCTTGGCCAAAACCCACTTGTAGAGAGAGAGAGAGTAGAGTAGAGAGAGAGAGAGAGAGAGAGTGACTAGAGTGGTAAAAAGTTTAAGTTGTTGACCACTCAACCCTTATATAGGGTTTGAGTTTGTGGGCAGGTGGAAATCTACCTGATATCAATGTTAAATGGGGCTTATGGTCGTACCCGGTTTAGTCGTAAACTAAAAATTTTCTATAATTAAATTCGAGCGTGTTACACGTATATTTATTTTGTTTCAACCCTTATGAAATAAAATAAAAATATTAATTTATTTGTCTAACCCAAATCTTAATGGAAATAATAATAAAATATTTTATTAACGGAAATGGCTTACAGTGACGGAATAAATTTCAGGTTGTCACATTAGAAAATCCTTTTGATAGTAAGTCTTAAATCACGTGTGATTGATTCTGCAATGTATTGGATTCAACTTGTATCCCCCTCCCCCCATAAAAGCAGTTAAAAACATTCAAAAGGTTAATTTAGGGGTATGAACTCACAGTTTGACGTAGGGTTCAAGTGTGCTATCGATATGAGTGTTGAGTGTCAACGGATGCTCTGAACGCAAGTAGCCCCTATTAATCATATGGTGACACATATATAAGTTAGAGCTAGGGTGTTTCATGACTAAAATGATGGGAAATCACTCTAAGGACTTGGTATCACTAGGACTAAGTGTCTCGTGTTCTATACTCAATGATCTATGCAAGTTTAAGGCCAAATATGAGTTTTAGGGTGGTGTATAACCATAAAAGTGAGTGTGCGGTTGGGGAATGCGGCCAGACTTATGCATGAGGCTGCACACTAGAGTGTGCAGCCGTACACTCCTTGTTTGAGTCCTATGTGTCGGTTGTGGCCATACTCTCACTTTGGAGGGTGTTTTAAATGTGTGCGGTCACCTGATGAAGGTGTGCAGCCGCACTCCTTCAAGGGGTGAAGAATACGAAGAACACTATGAGTTTTGGGCTTGGATTCAAGTGTTTTACCTCTATAATAAGCTGAAAGATGATTTTTTCACGTTTTGGAGGCCTTCTAAGTGTTCTTGGGTGATGTTTTTAGAGAGAGAGAGCATCCAAAAGTGAATGGAAAGGGGCCCTCTACTATATATAGGGTCGGGTGTGAGGCTGGAGGGGGTTTGCGGTTGGGTGTGCGGCTGGCTGGCCGCACACACCTCTCTTGGTGTGTTTGGCTTGCTTTTGTAATGCAACACCCTTCCTAACCCTTCCTAAGGCCCATATCTATGATATACTAAGTCTAAAGCACTCGTGCGGACCCAAAATTCTGCTAAAAGATGCTAAATTCAAGTGAATGATAGATATATGGATCGATTGCACAGTGTAGACAGATCGGGTTGTCACACATATAATTATAACTATAACCTTAGTTAATTTACTTCACCCAAGAAGTTGAAGGAAAATTTAATAGAATCTAAATTTTTATTAATGGAGGTGGGTTAAAATAACGAAAGAATTTTTGGGTTGTCACACTACTTCTATTGTGGAAACTTAAGAATTAAACAATGCTCATCAAAGCTTTGCTAAATTGCATAGACTTATATTGTGGAACTCAAGAATTAAAAAAATTTCATCAAAACTTTGCTAAACTACATAGACTTCTATCGTGGAACTCAAGAATTAAATAATGCTCATAAAAGCTTTAATAAATCGCATATACTTCTATTGTGGAGCTCAAAAATTAAACAATGTTAATCAAAGCTTTGCTAAATCGCATAGACTTCTATTGTGGAACTCAATAATTAAATAATGCTCATCAAAACTTTGCTTAAATTGCATAGACTGTTATTGTGGAACTCAAGAATTAAACAATGCTCATCAAAGCTTTGCTAAATTGCAAAGACTACTTCTATTGTAGAACAAATGAATTAAAAAATGCTCATAAAATGTGTGTTAAATTGTATAGACTTATATTGTGGAACTCAAGAAATAAACAATGCTCACCAAAGCTTTGCTAAATTGCACATACTTATATTGTAGAGATCAAGAATTAAACAGTGCCCATCAATGCTTTGCAAAATTGCAAGGACTACTTCTATTGTGGAACTCAAGAAATAAATAGTTCTCATCAAAGCTTTCCTAAATTGAATAGACTTCTATTGTAGAACTCAAGAAATACAAAATGCTTATCAAAGCTTCGCTAAATTGCATAAACTTCTATCGTGGAACTCAATAATTAAACAGTGCTTATCAAACCTTTAGTAAATTACATAAACTTCTGTTGTGGAACTCCAGAAATTGACAAAGCTCAAAAAAGCTTTGCTAAATTGCATATAATTATATGGTAGAAATAAAAAATTAAAAAATGCTCATCAATGCTTTGCTAAATCGCAAAGACTACTTCTATTGGGAAACTTAAGAAATAAACAATGCTCATCAAAGCTTTGCTTAAATTGCATAGACTTCTAGTTTGGGAACTGAAGATTAAGCAATGCTCATCTAGGTTTTGCTAAATTGCATAAACTTCTATTGTAGAACTAGAGAATTAAACAATGCTCATCAAAACTTTGCTAAAGTTGCATAGAATTTCATTATGCAACTCAAGAATTAAACAATGCTCATCAAAGCTTTGCTAAAATGCAACGACTACTCATATCATGGAAGTCAGGAAATAAACAATGTTCATCAAAGCTTTGCTAAATTGCATAGACTACTATTGTGAATCTCAAGAATTAAACAATACTCATCAAAGCTTTCACTACTAGAAAAACAGCCTTTTACGACGCTCATTGCGCGTCGTAAAAGGCTCAGACGACACGCAAATGCGCGTCAAGGAAGGCCATGTCATAAAGAGAGACGACGCGCATTTACGATGCTCATTTACGACGCGCAATTACGACGCGCGTTTACGACACGCAATGCGTATCAAGGAAGGCCCTGTCATAAAGGAAGACGACACGCATTCGCGTGTCATAACCTTACGACGCGCGTGTTAATGACACGCAATCCGTATCAAGAAAGCCCCTGTCAAGAAAGGCCATGTCATAAATGAAGATGACACACATTTTTGCATATCGTAAATTTAAATGTTTAAAAAAATTATATATTTATTAATTTTTAAATTAAATTTTCATTTAATTTCTCATAATAGAAATAAAATACTTTTTTGATAGATTTACTAATTTTCAAATTAAATAACACATTAAAAGTCTCATAATACAAAATAAAATACCATAAACAATAAAGATAATTCATTGCACTAAGGACCATGTTAACAAAAGAATATAATATTATATACCATAAGTACCCTCAAGTAATCAATCTCTTACAATGTTACTAAAAATACCCTCAAGTAATCAATGTCTTACAAAGTTAAGAGACTTAGATACTCAGTTGGTATGTAATATGGCACTAAGAAGCCTAAAAATTGTTTGTGTTTTTCTTGTTCTTGGTGGATCCTACATGGACAAAAGGTAAGAATTAACATTTTCAAAGTACAATGCCTCAATAAGGAAATCAATGGTAAAAGGCAAATCCGAATAAGAACAAACTTTATACATATATACATGGAAGTATTGTAATACACAATAACAGCAACAAATACCACATTACCCTTTGCTTACCTTTTCTTATGGCCACCTCCAAAAGTGAGAATTTGATAAAAGATTTTGGTCACACATTCTCTCATCAAGCTTTGTATCCAAAAGTGAGAATTTGATAAAAGATTTTAAAAGTGGGAAAATATCAAGAATATAGAGGATAATACATTAAGATAAAAAAAAATTACCTTCACAAAGAGCAAGTTTCAACCTTCTTCCCCAACAATGTTTGAAAGCAAAAAGCTCATATATATCGATCTCTGCTAAAAGGATATCTATTGCTTGATGATCTTTCTGCAAATTGAAGTACAAAATATATTAGATCATATGCCTAATATATTTTGTACTTCAATTTGCAGAAAGATCATCAAGCAATAGATATCCTTTTAGCAGAGATAGATATATAAAAGGGTTGTTATACTTGTTTACCTCTTCATCATCCTCATCACCAAAGTCCTCTTCATCAGCATCCTTTAAAAAAAGAATTTCAAAAACAAAATCAGTAACACAATAATGAAGGAAGGTGGATTTCAAAAAAAGAAAAAGAAAAGGTTTTAAGAAAGGTTTTATTCAAGCAAACAATAAAAAGATGCTTATTTTTTATGATTAATTAAAAGAATATATAATCTGAACATACTCCATCTTGAATTTAATCCATGTCATCTTCACATTGGGTCCCACTTAACCAACTAAAGAAGCTGTTGCATCAAACCAATCAAGAAACAAAATATAGACCTTTTAGTTTATGTTTCTTGTTTACTTAACAAAAACAAGACTTAATCAAGAAAAAAAATATAGACCTATCCCTAACCTTCTGTGCTGTGGAAAAAGCTAATCCAACCAAACCTCTTATCTTACCAACCTCTTTCTCAATTGTAGCCTTCAACTTAGCATCCACCTGAAACCAAACTCATTTTATACATTAACCAATTATAAAACACTTTATATCAATATCTTAAAATTTTAACTAATGACAAAAATAACCTTGTCAATGCAATGATCAGCATCCAGGAGATAACATAAGTAGAGAGTTGCTTGTACACATCAGCCTCCGTATACTAGTCAAAAATTAAATTTTCAGTTTTTGATCAAGGGTAATGACAAAAATAGTGTTTTTGACTTTGAGATGAAAACCAATCCGTCTCACAAGACGACCATTACAGCGAAGGTAATTTGGGCATACTGTTCCTCTCTCAGATTCACCAACAACATGCAAGTTTAAACTCCATGTTGTATAGTCGCATGTTTCATCATCACACTGAAATTTTACATCCAATTCCAGTAAAAAAAATTAAAAAAATAAAAATCATAATAGCATTGTTTGCATACCATCATAATTCCTTTGTAGTATGTGGATATGAAGAATTCAATTCGTCTTTTTACCTGATTCCATTCCACCAATAATTTACTCACTTTATTTCTTTGATTTCCATGTATTATATACTATATATGTAGGAAAAACAAACCTGATTGGCTAAAGATGTTGGAGGGAGTTCCACTTGACACTTAGGGCAACAGAATTTCTGCCAAAAGGTAGTGGTGGTGTTATATCCACTGGAACCTGCAAAATACAAATCAAAATAAAATAAGGAGTAAATATAAGGGATAATTAAAGTTATATACTACTAAATAGAAGTAAATACATGTTAAGTTATATACGACTAAAGTCATATATGTAGGATGGAATTAAGCACAAAGTCCAGCAAGAAGATGCACACCACCAAGTCGCACATGAGAAGGGTGTTTATTATGAACGACTGCAATGAGCTGATGCAAAAATATCTTGGTCCCTTGGGGAATGTTGTGGATTCCTATGACTTACCAGTCAACAATTCCCATGAAAGGCTACACCGGAACAAGATTCTGCAAGTTATCAAGAAGAAACACATTGAAATGTTCAGCAAGATTGCTGAAAACAAGAAAGATGGAGAAGCTGTGGTGATATCTAATGAGAGGAATTCTGCATCGGGGAGAACTTCTCACTCTAGATTTATGGAGGAGGGTAGCTGTAGTGAGGTTAAAGAATCAAAAGAGAGTCAAATAGAAGTCATTATATAGTGGAAGGGCAAGCTTATATCGGAAGTTACTTGGGAAAAATTCATAACTGTGCCTTACGTTTTTTCCTTTCACCTTGAGGGCAAGGTGCATCTTTTGGGATGGGGTATTGCTAAGGCTTTAGTCATGTTTAAGAAGGATGATGGTTCTAGTTTCCATTATTTGCCCCCATGTTTGATTATTCATGAGAATGGCAAGACTGATGAAGCTGTTAAGTTGATCATGGGTGCAATGGAACAAGTGGGTGGAATATATATGGTGATTGGTGTGGTGGTTGCAGATCATGGTAAGACTGATGGCAAGAAGAAGAGGCCACCTGAGAGAATTTGGGTGTCATGCATTAATTCTATCCACCTTGAGGAAAAGGTGGTTCTTTTGGGGTAAGGTATTGTTATGCATCAACTTCTGCCATATATGATAGATAAGGGCAACATGGGAAAGTCAACAAATAAAGGGAGATTAGGGGCATTTTAGGTATTTTATAGGCGGGGGTTCAAAACTCAGCTTTTCAACTACACATAGTTGACACGAGTTCTCACTCATCGAGTGTTTCAGAGCTTAAATCTTTTCTACATTTGCTTTGCTCTGTATAAAATGAGAGATTCAAAAACAAACACCAAACAAGCATAACTCCATAAAGTAAAATGCAGATTCTGACCTTGCCAACCCACTGCCTGAGACCTGTTATATGCTCACGAACCTGCCTGAGATCTGAGACCTGTTATATGCTCACAACCTGTTATATGGTGTATTAGATATCTAAAAATTAATACAAATGATTAAAAGATAATGAAATGAAATCAATCATAAAAGTTGAAATAAAGAAAATATGTTATAAAACTGACCTTCATTTGCATGTGTTATAAAACTGACCTTCATTGTTGTTAGTTCTTCCACACACTACATTAGAACTCCACACTCTAGTACCTATTCAACCATTTGTGCGTGGATGAGAAGGGGGGGATAGATAGATTTGTTTCAACTTGAAATAAGAGGTGTATACGTGTAACAAAGCTCTTTTGTGTGTTTGTAAGAAAACTCTTTCAAGTAAAGTTACAGGTTTCAACCCATACTGTGAGTACATAAGTAGTATAATACCTTAAATGCCCTTAAAGTTGTTATGTAGCGTGATGTACAACATCATATGGTTCACTAACCCCTTTTCCAGATTCCCAACCCAATAATCATAGTCGAATCCAGAGGTAGAACAGTCTTCTGGGGAGCAATCGCAGCCTGAGTCAGACATTGAAGCAAACACCTCACGGGCGTCAAAAAATTCATCTTCGTTATCACTGTAACTACCCATCTTCGATTCCTAAAATTTCACCTTGTGAAAACCTAACTGACATATGTCACTAAATTAATATAATTTAGCACGGAAGATTGTATCTTGAATAAATGGAATTTTGGTTTAAGAAAAGGTGAAACATCTGAACCCTAATGCACCTAAGAAATCAAACAAGAAGAATTAAAATAAGGGAGAAGGAACAAAGCATACCTGAGATGCTAAGAGAGTAGAAGTGAGGACCGTGGAATGATGAGGAAATCGCCATTGAAACCTGCATAGTTTTTCAATTAGGGTTTTCACATGAGAAGATGAGAAGATCCAAAATCAAAATCAAAGCTATGAATAGAGGAGAGATTAAAGAAATAGAAGAACAAAAACATTAGGAATAGAGAATAAACATAGCATATCTTAGTCGGGCTAGGGTGTGGAAATTTGAGCAGTCTCTGAAGAGGTCACATGAGCCCAAGGTCACCGGAGGAAAATACCCCTAAGTTCGTTGAAGGAGAAGTGAGCAAAGATGTTGCCGACGAGGTGAGGCGAGATCATCGATCGATTGTTGTAGAGGCCAGAGAGCACCAAGTGTTTCCGTTCATGAAAAAAAGCCCTAGTCCCTGCGATTTTGTGGAATTTAGTAGTATTATCCTTGCTTATCTTCTTTTTTTCTTCTTAAATCTTAATAACAATCTCTATGAAATCGCAGGTTGCCTTTTTAGGTTAGAAGAAGAGAGAGAGAGAGAGAGAGAGAGAGAGAGAGAGAGAGAATTAAACAATGCACATCAAAGCATTGCTTAATTGCATACACTTCTATTATGGAACTCAAGAATTAAACAATGTTTATCAAAGCTTTTCTATACTGCAAAGATTACTTCTTTTGTGGAACTCTAGAATTAAAAAATTCTCATCAAAACTTATCTAAATTGAATAGACTTCAATTGTGGAACTCAAGAATTAAACAATGTTGATCAAAGCTTTGCTTAAATTGCATAGACTTCTATTATTGAACACAAGAATTAAACAATATTCATCAAAGCTTTGCTTAAATCGCATAGACTTCTATTGTGGAACTCAAGAATTTAACAATGCTCATTAAAGCTTTGTAAATTGCATAGACTTCTATTCTGGAACTGTAGAAATAAAAAATGCTCATCAAAGCTTTACTAAATTGCATATACTTATATTTTTGAACTGAAGAATTAAACAGTTCTCATCAATGCTTTGCTAAATTGCAAAGACAACTTCTATGGTGGAACTCAAGAAATAAACAATTCTTATCAAAGCTTTGCTAAATTGCATAGACTTCTATTATGGAAATCAATAATTAAACAATGATCATCAAAGCTTTACTAAATTGCATAGACCTCTTTTGTGGAACTCAAGAACTAAACAATGCTCATCAAAACTTTCGTAAATTGCATACACTTCTATTGTGGAACTCAATAAATAAACAATACTCATCAAAGCTTTGCTAAATTTCATATACTTATTGTAGAACTCAAGAATTAAACAGTGCTCATCAATGCTTTGTTTAATTCAAAAGACTAATTTTGTTATGGTAACTCAAGAAATAAACAATGCTCATCAAAACTTTTCTAAATTGCATAGACTTCTTTGTGGAACTCAAGAATTAAAAAATTCTCATCAATGCTTTGCAAAATTGCATAGAATTCTATCGTGGACCTCAAGAATTAAAAAATGCTCATCAAAGCTTTGATAAATTGCATAAACTTCTATTGTGGAACTCAAGAATTAAACAATGCTCATCAAACATTTTGTAAATTACATAGACTTCTATTGTGGAACTCCAGAAATAGACAATGCCCATCAAAGCTTTGCTAAATTGAATATAATTATATTGTAGAACTCAAGAATTAAACAGTGCTCATCAATGCTTTGCTAAATTGCAAAGACTACTTCTATTGTGGAACTCAAGAAATAAACAATGCTCATCAAAGCTTTGCTAAATTGCATAGACTTCTAGTGTGGAACTCAAGAATAAAACAATGCTTATCAAAGTTTTGCTAAATTGCGTAGACTTCTATTGTGGAACAAGAGAATTAAACGATGCTCATCAAAACTTTGTTAAGATTGCATAGACTTTTGTTGTGGTACTCAAGAATTAAACAATGATTATCAAAGCTTTGCTAAATTGCAACGACTACTCCTATTATGGAACTTAAGAACTAAACAGTGCTCATAAAAGCTTTGGTAAATTGCATATACTTGTATTGTGGAACTCAAGAAATAAACAATGATAATCAAAGCCTTACTAAATTACATAGACTTATATTGTAGAAATCAAGAATTAAACAATGCTCATCGATGCTTTGCTAAATTGAAAAGACTACTTCTTTGGTGGAACTAAAGAAATAAACAATCCTCATCAAACCTTTGCTAAATTGAATAGACTTCTGTTTTGGAACTCAAGAATTAAACAATGCTCATCAAAGCTTTGCTAAATTCCACAAACTTCTATCATGGAACTCAAGAATTAAACAATGCTCATCAAGGCATTAGTAAATTACATAGACTTCTATTACAGAACTCAAGAAATAAACAATGCTCATCACATCTTTGCTAAATTTCATATAATTATAAGATAGAACTCAAGAATTAAACAGTGCTCATCAATGTTTTGGTAAACTGCAAAAACTACTTCTATTGTGGAACTCTAGGAATAAACAATGCTCATCACAGCTTTGTTAAATTGCATAGACTTCTATTGTGAATCTCAAGAATTAAACAACACTCGTCAAAGCTTTGTCAAATTACAAATACTACTACATTTGTGGAACTCAAGATTCAAACAATGCGCATCAAAGCTTTGCTAAAATTGCATAGCCTTCTATTATGAAACTCAAGAATTAAATAGTGTTCATCAAAACTTTGCTTAAATTGAGTAAACTTCTATTATGGAACTCAAGAATTAAACAATGCTCATCAAAGCTTTGCTAAATTGAATAGACTTCTATTGTAGAACTCAAGAAATAAAAAATGCTTATCAATGCTTTGCTAAATTGCATAGACTTCTATCGTGGAACTCAATAATTAAACAGTGCTTATCAAACCTTTAGTAAATTACATAGACTTCTGTTGTGGAACTCTAGAATTTGACAAAGCTCAACAAAGCTTTGCTAAATTGCATATAATTATATTGTAGAAATCAAAAATTAAACAATGCTTATCAATGCTTTGCTAAATCGCAAAGACTACTTCTATTGTGAAACTTAAGAAATAAACAATGTTCATCGAAGCTTTGCTTAAATTGCATAGACTTCTAGTTTGGGAACTCAAGAATTAAGCAATGCTCATCTAGGTTTTGCTAAATTGCATAGACTTCTATTGTCGAACTAGAGAATTAAACAATGCTCATAGAAACTTTGCTAAAATTGCATAGAATTTTATTGTGGAACTCAGGAATTAAACAATTCTCATCAAAGCTTTGCTAAATTGCAACGACTACTCCTATCGTGGAAGTCAAGAAATAAACAATGTTCACCAAAGCTTTGCTAAATTGCATAGACTACTATTGTGAATCTCAAGAATTAAACACTACTCGTCAAAGCTTTGTTAAATTACAAATACTACTTCTTTTGTGGAACACAAGAATTCAACAATGCTAATCAAAGCTTTGCTTAAATTGCAGAGACTTCTATTATGGAACTCAAAAATTGAACAATGCTCATCAAAACATTGCTTAAATTGCATAGACTTCTATTATGTAACTCAAGAATTAAACAATGCTCATCAAAGCGTTGCTAAATGACATAGGCTTTTTTGTGGAACTCACGAATTACACAATGCCCATCAAAACATTGCTAAATTGCATATGCTTATTTTGTAGAACTCAAGAATTAAAAAGTGTTGATCAATTTTTGGCTAAATTGTCAACGCTGGTTCTATTGTGGAACTCAAGAAATAAACAATGCTCATTAAAGCTTTGCCAAATTGCATAGATTTCTATTATGGAACTCAAGAGTTAAACAATGCTCTTCAAAGCTTTGCTAAATTGCATAGGCTTCTATTGTGGAACTCGAGAATTAAATAATGCTCATAGAAACTTTGCTTAATTAAAAGACTACTTCTATTGTGGAACTTA